TTCAAATGAGAAATACCTCGTAAACGATGCTGAAGCTTTTTGATGGCTTGTACTTCTACCGATCACGCGCTTTCTTCTGTCGTCCCTGCAACGGAATGCTTCTTCGCATCCTCGAAGCTCGCCATCTTGAAATCGTACGGCAGCTCAAAGTCTGCTTTCGGATCTCCTTCAAAAGGATTGAAGTCTACAATAAGGGAATCCTTGACCGCAAAAACGGCATCGTCGTCGATATACTTGCTCTTTCTGTCAAAGATCTGAGTAACAATAGGTTTGTAACCCGGCGCTGTGAGCTAAGATAAGTTAGCACAACAGGCTACACGTTCGCCATAGGCTTCACATACCAGGAAGTGTATATGCGCCGGCCGCATCGGATGCCTATCCAGCGCTTGCAACACTTTGCCTGCTGGCCCATCGAACGGTATGGGGTAAGGTACCGGCCTCAAGCAGTAGAAGCTGTACTTGCCGTCCTTACCCGTTGTGAACCTCCCTCTGAGATTCATCTCTGGCTGGTCTGGATCCTGTTGTTCGTACAAACCATTCGGCGCCGTATGCCATACGTCCACCACCGCGCCCTCGATAGGCTGCCCGGTTCTAAAGTCCGTGACGATGCCGTGCATCAATGTTCGATCGCCTTGCTCATTTATCTCCTTAGACACGATGCAGGAGCCCATGGGTAGCTTCGGGGCGTCATGGCGGTAGAAGGGGCCTAAGATGGCAGTCGCGGTGGGCTCGTCGGCAGCGGTAGAGGCGAGCTTGTAGGTGATCTCGTCGACGAGCGATTCGAGGCCGAGGATGTCGCAGAGCAGTTGGCCTTCGTTGCGTTTGGCGTCTGACATGCGACCTGCTGCATTCATCTGCCGTTGGTTTAGTATGCTGAGCTGTACCCTCACAATCATAAATATGGAAAGCTTTCTGACGTACCAACTCGACTCCTGTCATCCATTCGTCGACCGTGAGTTCATTCTCCCTCGCAAAGTCATGAAGATGCCGTATCAATCCCGCTGTGAGCTGTCTGACCCTGGGTGTAGCTTTTGGTCCCGTCGCATTGATTACCGCCTGAGTGAAATTCGGGTTGAATTTGTGCTCCTGGCTATCCGATACCGCGGAAGGGTGTTGAGCTTGTGAAGCTTGTGCTTCTTCCGGCATGATGACGTTTCTGATGACGAGTTTCTGAGGATGCACTTGAATTCATCAAAGGACAAGGCAATCTTTCCCTCTATGCGATTGCGATTAGACCTAAAGTACTGCGCAGTAAGTATGATTCGGATGTTAGCAAACAGCGAACGATTAGCAGTACGATCGAGATCCGACAGCCGGCAGCATGTCGGCCAGTCAAGCACACCAGCGCAAGGCGCATAGCTTCAGGCTCTACCGTTGGCTTGCGCTTTCGTGCGACATAGCATGGCGGGGCTGTGGAGCGAAGGTGTGTATGGTGTGGACGGTGGACGGAAGCTGCTGTCGGTGCAGCATTCCGACGAAGGTGCGCCTTCCGAGACTGGGATCCTTGGGAGTTGACCAATTGGGCAATGGCGGGTAGTAAGCATACACGACGACTTTTCTGTAGGTGCGGTAACACAATCGCGCAGGCTATTGTGGCCATGGACGCCCAAGTATATGTGGTGAGGTTTGTATTAAGAAGATTGAGCCAGATCAATGATGACCGTTTTGATCGCAGTAAATGCTACAGTGTTGCACTAGCAACTCGAGCTATGCAAAAGACCCAAACGCCCATAAATATGTCCTGATAATGCTAAAAGACGTTCAATCACTGTCATCGTCAACCCTGGCGCGCTTGGCTGATCTGCCCTCAGGCTCCTGGATGCCGTAACGCTTCTCTCCTGTCTTCTCGCCCTTTTCACCACGAACTTCGTCAATCATCTGGTTGATGTTGAACGGATCGTCAGTATCCTTCTCAAACTGAACTGGTCCGTCCCGGGCTTCTTGCAGATCTGCACCCTTGAAGCCTTCCTTAGCCTTTCCAAGGACTTCGAACTTGCTCGACTTGGTGATCCGGTCGTATGTCTGCCCCTCGTCCTCTCCGTCATCCTGCTGTACACTCGGGCGGTAGATGCTGCTGATAGCATCCTGAGCTGCGAAGAGAGGCTTGTCGTAGTGGTTGTCCTCGTTGAAACCAGCGTTGAATCCGCTGGACTGGTTGAACAGCCGCGAGTCGTACATGGACTCTCCGCTCTGTGTTGGCTTTGCCAGACCGAGTGCGACCTTCTCGGAAATATCACGATTCTGCTCCCGAGCCAGCATCTGGATCTTGCGTTCGGTACCCATCCGCGACTGACGGAGTTCGCGCTGGAAATCCTCCCGTCGCTCCTTGCGAGCGTCCATTCGCTTCCGCACCGCCTCTTCTTCCGAATCAGTGTCCGACTCGCTCTGTGATCGTCTTCGGGAGGTGTTGGCGCGCTGTTCTCGTGCCTCTCTCGCCAGGTTTCGCAGGTGCTCCTCCTTTTGTAGCTTCTCCTTCTCCGCTAATCTTTGCTGCATGATCGCACGCTGCTTGACCTCCTCTCGTGCATGTCTATCCGCTGCCTGCAACGCTTCACCAAATTGAGCAAACTTGTCGTTGATGGTGATATCCTGCAGCCCTCGACCATCGGCTGCTAGACGTTTGTCTAGTGGCACTGTGTATCCCTTCGGGTTCTTCCAGTTACTGATTGGGGGTGGAATCTTCCAAAGTTCTTGGTCTTCGGCGGTCAGCTTTCGCGGCGGCGAGTGGAGGACGGGTGGGGGAGGCGATGGTGGTCCGCGAGGAATGCGCTTGTGCTTGAACTTGGGTGGCTCCATGGGATCAATCTGTCTTTGCTGGATCTTGATGATGCGCGTCTGGCCCTGGGCCTGGCCATGCTGAGCCGTGGGTGTATATCTGACGAAGGTCGGCTCATCGTTCTTCCTGCCCTGTACGTTCTTGGGCCGTTGCGCGGCAGTTTGCCCTTGGACCAGTGCCATAAGGGCCTGCTCAGTCTTCTCCTTGGTTGCTTGGACAACCTCCGCAGACGGACGCGACAAGTCCAGCTCGCCAGCGTCTGCCTGCTGGCGCAGAGGAATGAGGTCCTTGAAGCTGGCCTGCACAATCCTCGAATCGCCGTGTCCGCGTCGCGCAATCTCGTCGTATTTGGTCTTGCCCTCGCCGTCGACTCTCCTCACAAGCGCGTTGGATGTGGATGGTTGGCCCTTCTTTCCCATGTCGAGCGGGTACTGCGCGACGAGTACTTCCGGAAATGCGCCTCCATCGCCAAAGTCTAGAGATGATGTCAGTACATCTCCCGTGTGTCTTCCATACGTGTTTTGCTTACCTTCAGGCGCGCGGGGTCTCCAGTGCTGCCTCTGGCCATAGGGGGGCGGGCCCTTTTTCGCGACTACTTGCGCTTCATATTGCTCTGCGGTTAGCACGCGCGTGCTGTTGGTGAGCTCCTCCTCTTCGCCCGAGTACTTCGGCTTTGGCAGCGACTTGGACAAAGCTGCGACGGACATGGTCGGTGTAGGCGTAAGGGCAGTTCGCGATGTGACGGGGGTTGGGTATCGCGATTGGCAATGGTGGTGGTGATGATGTTGCTGGGCAAGATTTCATCAGATCCTCGGCGTTTGGTTCAGCCACCGCCGAGGTCACGTGCGTGTGGCTGCCTCCAACACAGCACGTCCACTGTCTGCTCCGTTCCCTTTACAATGCTACAGCCAATCAACGAGACGAAGCGCGCAATTCCGTCTGTAATTATGTGGCTTTCACTATCGATACAGAATCTGAGCCAGCGAACCTTGTGTTGTGCGCGAGATTACAGTGTCTGCTACAGGAGAGAAGGGTGTCTGGCCTTAATCTTCACGACTCAGGCGCCGGTGAATCTTACCTGCGCCTGACATGGATAAAAGTCCCGTCCGTCGCTGCTACTCGCTTACAACCCGCCGTTGACCAGGATGGCGAATGCAGGAACAGAGTCAGTCAGCACAATGTTTTTGCAATCACAATGATAATCGTGATCTGTTATCTCGACGGGAGAAGCTTGGAAGTGGTTCCTGCTAACGGCCAAGCGGCGGTGTGCGTTCACCGGACGAAATGAGAGCCAGCATGCTTTTTGGGCCAGACACGCACAACAGCGAGGTAATAATCGCGCAGGTAATGGTCAGCTTACAGGGAAAGTTAATCGGGTAGAGGCATCTTTGACACGCTGGTAGTCGAGAGAGGCGAGCGAGTGATGTGCGATATAGGGTGCGATATAGGTTAAGGCCATGGCACGGTTAGTCGCTGCACATCATGCCGTTGCTAAGAGACGGTTTCGAAGGCGGCCATTCGTTCCAGAAAGGACTGTGACATCTCGTGCAGAGTGGCCCGGGACCCTAGACGCAAACGGCCAAGGTCAAGATGCTAGGGATCCCCAGCGTCGCAGCATCAACCTCTGAACTTTGCAGAGTGAATTGGCAATATTCGACGGCTTGCGCGCGGACTGTGGGTCGCAAAAGCAGCCATGACGGGCTGAGTATTCTGAAACGTTGTCCGCCATCCCTGTCAGGTGTGCCAGCGCAGGCCTGCAGCTATGCCGACCCATTCTCGGAAATCGTCTGGAGGAGCACCACAACACCACACCACGCAGCGGCGCAACTCTTTGTCGCAGAGCACGCCCCCCAGCAAGCCCACGCACGCCCGCACCAACACGGCCCCGGAGCCGCCTACGCTGTTGCGCCTGCCGTCTGTCAGCTCCACCGCCGCCCGCCGTCCCCCAGCCTCGCACAGCGGCCATGGCATAGACAACTCGCGCGGCCCTCCCGTCACCCTCGTTACTCGCAGCCGCAGCTCGCAGAACCCCGCCGACTTTGCCTATGCGCAGCAGCAGTTCCTCCAGTCCGGCCTGGTATCCCCCACTAGCTCCCACCCAGCCACATCCACCAGCGAAGCCCCGCGACCACCACAACAAACAAGTGCTGTAGACCCGGCCACCCGCCCCCGACCCCACCCCCGACGAGCCTCGACCAGCAGTGCGAGGCCCCCGCCACGACGAATGGCGAGCTCCACCGACGAGTCGTCCGAGTACGACTCTGGCCCCCGCAGCCGCATGGAGGACTATCACGCGGCGCATAGCGGACGGGGAGCGCCTGCACCAGCGACGCCAGGAACAGACGGCGAGAAGGAGGACCTGTTCTTGAACATCGCCGCCGACAGTGCGCCCAAGCCGCCGCGCCCAGAAAATCCGACAGCGCGCGACCGATTGAAGGTGAGCAGCAATGGAGCCACGGCATGCGCATGAATGGCAGCTAACTACCCAGTCACGAGTCGCCCGCGTCAACAACAGGCAGTCGCTGCCTTCCGCCCTGCAGTCGCCCTCGCCCGTCCAGGCCCAGTCGAGCTTAGTCACACCAACCACCAGCAGGATACCCTCCAGCGCTGCCCTCGAAGCCAGGTCCAGCGGCATACGCCGGTCGTCACTCCTACCCACTCCCTCCAGATACGAGCGGTCGCCAAACTCGCCTGCGCCCGAAGCCATACGGACCCGCGACCTCAACCACAAAGCCTCCTTCAGCTCCACACGACGCGACTCGGAGCTCTCACCGCGCGACTTCCTAGCCCAGTTCTCAAACTCAACAAGACGAGGATCTCAGCCCGAGGTACACCAAACCCCGCCCAGTCGCACCCCGGTCCACCCCTACAGGCCGTCGAACCTGTCACACGAGCCACGCACGCCTCAGGTGGAGACATCATTCGAGGCTGGTTCGCGCGCCGACGGTACCGAGTCGCATGGCTCTACAGGGCCGGCCGCGTCTGTATGGGACGAGCTGGACGAGCTCAAGTCCAGGATACGAAAGATCGAGATGGGCGGCAAGATACCCTCGACATCGGGTGCCATTGTAAACCAAGCATCGGCTGAGCGCCCACGGACGGCCAACACCTCAGCTACGACAGTCTCGTCTTCACCGAATCAGCAACGAAAGTCGAACCCGTCGCCTGCCGAGTCGACAGTGGGCACGCACACTCCCAATAACAACAAAACTCATCCTCTGTTGCGCGAAGCCCTCGGTAAAGCTAGACAGTACGTCTCACCAACTGTCTACCGCAACCTGGAAGCGACTGCAACCGAAGCACTTGCGCTGGCAGAAATGAGCGGCAGTGCAGGACCGCAGGGCACTTTACACTCTGCTAGCTCCATCATCAACGGCTCTGTCGTCTCAGACCGCCAGGTTCGTCGCAAAGCCGACAACCTCTGTCGCAGTCTCACCGAGCTCTGCATTGCTCTGTGCGACACCAAGACCGGTCTTGCCAGTCCAGCCTTCCGATCCAACACAGCCACGCTATCACGTCGGCCGAGTGTACAGATCAATGGCGATTCACCGACTATCCGACAGAGCATCGAACCCGAAAGCAACACATTGTCATCTGGTGTCAGTCCTAGTAGAGCCATGTCACGCATCGAGGCTCGGAGAACCAGCATGCTTATCGATGACTCCGGTCGCAGCCAAAGAGGAGGCAGCCAGGAACCTTACGACGATAGACACACTCCGTCACGCATGCAACGAGCAGGCACCAGTCTCCACCAGACACGCAACAGTGTGGACGAAGAAGACGAAGATCCAATCTTCCGTGCGCCTTCCCGTGCGATGACCTCAATCGACTTTAGAGCCCGTCACGGTGGTCAGTCAGATCAAAAACGATTCACCGGTGGCAGACAGTACACCTCCCGCGAACCAATGCCTGATCTGCAGCCATCACCCGCTCTTCAAACCACCGCCAGTCTCCGCCGGCCCAGTGTTTCAAGTAGTACGCCCTCCAACGAGCATAGCCTGTTGTTCCGGGATAATCAAAGTCGCTACGGTCACAATCTAGGCCGTGAAGGCTCGCCAGCCAACTACGAGAAGACCCTGACGGGAGGACTACGGCCAAGAGCACAATTGAGCGTCGCTCGAAACCCAAACAACCGGCACTCAGTCGGTGGTGTTTCGGACATTGGGCGCAGCGTGAGTCTAGGAAGACGACTAAGGGGAACAAGTATCGGAGAGTGAGCAAAGCTCAGCTCTTGCAATTCTTTGAGCTTGCGTTAACGTTTGACGTTACCCTGATAGTATGCCCAGTCTCCTCTTCGGTCCACGCGCAATGACCCCGCGACTCTCATACTTGAGACCGGATTCGCCATGGGCACACCAACAGAGGCGCACCGTATAACGCGGAGCCAGTACCTAGAGTTAGACACAGGCGCGCACGGGAACATGTTAGGGGCGAGCATTTGCGTTTTTCAGCCTTGCAAGGCTAAGAAGTCTGTGCGATTTACCACGAAGGAGTTTCTACCAAGCATTGTGAGAGAAAGAGCGTTCTCACGACTTTGCATATTTTGCCATCAAAAGGGGCTAACTACGAAGCATTTTGTTATCAGCGTTTCTTGCACGTAAGGGGACAAGCGTGTGGGCGCAGGATCGATTCACCGTCAGCATCTCATGATCTCTTTGTCTTTTTTCCGTTTTCCGTTTTCGTTAGTCCATATACCAACACCAGATCGTGTTTTTCCTTGCTACCTCTTCTTCATCTTCAAAACATGAGTGTTGAAACTTCGTGTACATAACATATATCAAACCCGCCTTTTCTTGTGTGAATATATATATTAGTTACGGACCCCTTTTGAGCACATTTGGAATGAAGGCTGACACATTGCTCAAGGTCATGTCTCACCATCGCACGCCGCCTTCTAGGAAGGATGTGCGCACACTTTCACTGCTCCGGCGCGTCTGACACGGCCAGGCTCCTGCGACCTGGGAGTCCACTTGGGTGACTCCCACGAGCATAATGAAGAACGTCTCCTGCTGGCTACAAATTGGATCAATGCAGCATTGTTCACTGCTGTCTTCCAATGAGGCATCGCTTGTTGATAATGCTGACCATTCACAAAGACCTTGTAGTTGATTGCAAGATATATGTGGGCTGTTCCCCCATATTCTTCGGATGACCCACACCTAAACCCAGGCAACCATGGAACGAATGTGCGGTACACACCGAAATGTCTGAACCGTATGGTATTCATTTGAGTTCCTGACCCTTTCCCCTGTTCACCACTGTACTCACCTCCTTTGAATGCCCTGACATGCCTGAATCCGTGCTGTGAAACAATCACGCTCTTTGCGCTGAGCAAACAGCGTTTAAGAGCGCACCGACCCACATTCACCTTCGATGGAATTGTTCTGTTGTGGCAATATGACGCAGCGGCGCTCGCGCCGTTCCTCAAGTTCTTCTACTGCTTCTACTGCGACGCTCGACCACGACACCACCCCAGTAACTACGCCTTTTGGTCACCCCGCAACTCGCAATCCGCACACGACCGACGCAGACTTGCACTCGCCTTTGGATTCAACTGCAGCAAACTCGCCATCAAGCGCATCCACCACCGCTTTAGCGCCTGAGCCAGCAGTGTTTGTCAATTCGCAGGCCTTCGCAAACGCCCACACGACACGACTCCCCATCACACTCAAGCGCACCCACTTCCCATCGCCAAGTCGTAGCACTCCGCCCAGGAAACAACACTGCGGCGCCGTTGCGATGTCAGACGAAATGTCCGAAGAGCGCGCGCCTGCCCAGGTTGTCGCGCAGGCCGCGCCTACCGCATCGGACGAGGCGGACACACTGACAGACTCGTCATCCACATTACGAGGAGAAACCACCAGAACCCCATCGCCGACTGAACCGGAACCTCTTTGTTTGAATGGCGTGACTGCATCTGACGGCGATGCTAACTCTCATTCAAGCATAGGTTCACCTGCGGTCGACGTCACACCACAGACCGAGACGCAAGGTCTGGTATCCTCGCCGCCACACAGCGATGAAATCATGGCTTCACAATCTCAGGACAATGCGCCTGGCTTTGCGCGGTCACCAGAGGAAGAGTACGTCGACAACAACCACCCTCCTACCCCGCGCTCAAATCAAGACCACGCCAGCGAAATGTCCACGACGCCGCCGGTCACACCTCCACACACGCCTTCCATGGACGAAGAACGCCAGTCACCAAGTTCATCGGTATCATCAGATTGGTGGACTGAGTTAGGTGTTCCGCCGCCCCCACCGAAATCCAAGGCAGTCATGTCGCCTGATCGAGCGGTCTCTTTTACAGACATCTCTGAATCACTCGCTAAGCGCAAAATGCAACGCAACATTTTCTCGAAGACACGTGGCTTGATAAAATATCAAGCGGCCAAGATATTTCTCATCTCTTCTCGCGGTGTTCAACGTGAGAATCTGCCCACAAGGCAAACAAGACCCCCTCTGTTGAAGCGCCGCTATAGCGTCGATGTGAATACTACCACCGAATGGGAGCAAGAGACAAATCACTGGGAATTTGCATTATCCCAGGTAAACAGTCACCAGAAACCTGTCTTTAGTGGGCACTTCACTGACGTTACAAAGACATTTGACATCCCTGAGCTACCACACAAGGAGGTGGATCCGCTACCCGCTCTTACACATTGGGTGCAACTTCCTCATCCTGCCCGACATATTGCTTTCGCCTCGGTCTTCTTTGGTCAGCCTACCCACAACGGAGGAGTGTTCCTTGAGCTGGGTGATGTGACCCTTCACAACGACTCCTTCAACTATATTGGCGCTACCAACAGTCGGATTTATGGTGCGGAAGTATGGATGCGTGACGAGAGTCTAGACATGGCTCTTGAAGTGCTTCGCCGCGAATACGACTGCGATGCTCACAAAATCGGCATCGCCAACTCCACCGTGGCCCAGATTTGCTACTTCGCCCAAATGTCAGGATATTCTGATGCGGAATACGGACAGTATAGGTTACGTTACGCTGACAAGAATTGGATCTTCATCGTCATCAACGATGGCATCGGCGGTCTCGAAAACGATGGCCACAGTGGATTACACTGGTCTCTCGCCATTCTGGATCGGATTTCCAAGACATGCTATTATATTGATTCGCTCTTCGTCGAACTGGACTTCTATCGAGACTTAGGCCGGGATGTGTCTATGGGAATGCTCCATATTCTTGATGAAAACCCACAGGATTGGAGGTACCTCCCACAATCCAACAGTCCCGATCAAAACCACAACAACAGGTTCAAAGAAGATGGAGGCGCATGCGGACCATTTGTGTACAAAATGTGCGATATTTCCATGGATGCAATCACGCGCCGTCATCTGGCAGGGTTCGAGACCTGCGACCTTGCACTCAAGCGCTGGTTTCCTGAAAAGTTCGAGTCAGAGTTCCATTCGGAGCAGGTTCGCCATGAGATCCAGAGCAAAATCGCTCGCTGGGCACAAAAAGAGTGGTCTTCAAGACTGGCGAATGACTGGGACTTCGCGCTTATCCAGGGCACAGACGCCGTCCTAGATGACGGACCAGTCGTCGCATTCGAGGCCCCGGCCCCAGCTTCCAGATCACATCACTCGGGACGATATGTCCCCAGCGGCAGCAGCTCCCGATCCCCCATCACCCTGGACGACGACGACGCGAACTACGTCGTCCACGGCAACAGGAGGGATAGCCTGGACAGCAACGTTGCGTCCGCGGGTGGTGATACGACGGTGGTCGACTTGGGTGAGGACTCTGATAACACCTGGGTGGTGTCAGACGACGAAATGAACCTGGATACGGACGACGAGGAGACCGCTGAGGTCGTCCTCGACGGCCAAATCTAGGTTGACGACTACCCTGCCCATGGGGAGGAGAGGGACGACTAGGCATAGTGAGGCGGGGTGTCGATATGGGCCTAATTTTCTTGTGACGAAGGCGTTACATGGGCTTGTCATTGTCAAGATACCCCTTCAATTGTAGCGAAGGAGTTTTGGTTTTTGCATGGTTTTGTTTCGCGAGAAAAATGTACTTGAAAATAACCAAAAAAAATGGCTGTGAAGCCTGAACAAAACTTCCGTTCTGCAATATCGTGATAACTCCTTAGATGAAATTGCTATACTCGACCTCGCTCCTTCCAAGCTCCTCCATCAAACCCAAATCTTTATCACGTGGCACATCATTTCAGTACTAGCGCAATCCCCCCGCCCATCGCCATCGCAATCCATCATCGGCACTGCCAACTCCCCCAACAACCTGTTTTTCTTTCCGCCCAACCACTCCCACATGCATCTCCCAACCACCGCAGATCCAAGAATTGCGGCTGAACTCGCCATCGCAAGTCGGTTGCGCGAAACGGGTGGCGGTGGCAAAAATGCACAACACCGCATTCAAGCGAGCCGAGGTGCGGCGATATGGTGGAAAACCGGGGATGAGGCGATGTCGTGCTGCGGATGTACCTGTCTATCCTGTCGCATCACTAGAGGGAACTAAGACCCTAGAGGCCGGGGCATTTGTTGATCACCGGCGAATATGAGAAAAAGCAAATGCTGTGCTGTCCTTTGCGGTACGCGGTACGCGGTACGCGGTACGGAGAGTTTGGGAAATGGGCGAGGCCAGGCCCTCGAAGGTTGAAATGATGGGGAATGACGTAACCGCGTGATTGCTCTCGCTGAACTAACTCCACCAAACCTTCTTTCCACAGCTCTTTGCAATGCATGATGACTGGAAGTTTTTGTGTGGGTGTGCTGGGGTTAGCTTGGATCGTGGTAGTTGGGCATTGTTTCTCCTGTTTGGCGTGTACCTGATCGATCACACGATAACTCACTACCTACCACGATCACTACTACTACTACAAACTAGCATATGTGTGCATGAACCTACCTACGTATGTCGGCACGACGCAAAACGCGTATAGTCTGTATATCGGATACGCATAATCAGACGCCGAAGTTGCCGGCTGGCGATGTCTTGATCCACGCGGGTGACTTGACGAATCAGGGGAGTTATGCGGAGTTGAAGAGGACGGTGGAGTGGCTTGAACGGCAGGAGTTTGAGGCGAAGATTGTGGTTGCTGGTAATGGATGCCTTTGGTCTTTTTCAAGAGGTACAGATGATGGGAAAGAGAGTTGCTGATGAGATGTGACAGGAAATCACGATATCACGCTCGATCCTCCATTCTTTCGAGAAAACGAAGAGTCGTGGAAATGGCCTGCGCCGCAAGACACAGAAGCGTGTAGAAGACTGTTGACGGAATCTAAGTCCATTATCTACCTTGAAAATGACTATACGGAGATACGATTGAAAGAACGGGGAACGTGCTTTACCATCTTCGGGAGTCCTTGTACGCCCAAGCAGCAACTTGCAAGTTGGGCTTTTCAGTACAAACCCGACGAAGCAGAAGAAGTGTGGAAAAAGATTCCAAATGAAGTGGATATCGTAGTTACGCATACACCGCCCAAGGGGCGATGCGACGGAGTAGTAGCAGCAACAAGCGGACAGAAAGACAGAATAAGGGAAGGATGCCCAGCGTTGTTAAGAAGATTAGAGCAAGTCAGGCCGATCTTGAACGTCTGCGGCCACATACACAACGGACGAGGCGTGGAGACGATACAATGGAGAGAAAGACATGCATTACTACATCACCAACCCACGCCCATGGATATCGGTACCCTAGTACCAAGCGTGCAGTTCTGGAACGACCCAGGAGCCTCCAACAAGAAACTTTCTCTAGTTGATTTGACGACGGGCATGCAGGTGAGAAGAGGGCGTGGTTCGGGCTGCGACCACCATGCGAGCTTGACACGTCAATTGCAGCCTGACTCGCGAGGGGACCGTCTGGGAGGCCAGCCTGATGCGATGTCTGCACCGGATCAGACAGGGCGTCAGCCCCCGTCCGGTGGTGGTGAGAAGCTTATCCCGACGGCACCAGCGAGCCTCACTGATGTTGCCCTGCGGGACAGTGAGGCGCTGTGGGGGGGGATTAGTGGAGGAGGACGGCGAGGGGGCGATGCAGATGAGCATCCAGATGAGAGCGATACCGGACATGGGTGTCCTGACGAGGCTACTCAGCGTCTCGCAGAACGACAGAGGGGTATGCCTCCACCCGGGACGGAAGAACGCAGCCAGACCACGGTGATCAACGCAGCGTATCTGGGTCCAAGGGTCGCTGGCAAAACGTCGGTTGCCTACAACAAGCCGATAGTCGTCGATATGGAGCTGCCTGTATGGGGCTCTTTGGGACAACGATAATGCTAGCTAATGTGGGATGACGGATCAAGTGCAGCGTACCTGTCCCAAATGATCTCATTCCTAGCCAGCACAGCACACTTGTCGAGCCAACACCTACATCATACTGCTGCTGGTTTATAGCACATTCGTGTTCTACTCAGTGCGGTGCGTGCAATGGACGAGGACCACGTAGGAGGACGTGCTTCGTGGGCTTTGTGAGCTGACCATGTCACGATTGGGCGTGACATGCAGAAGTGCCCCGCCTTACCCCCGCATAAGCGTATCTTATCGTCCTATCAAGCCACGGGCTAACGTCTGCCATCGGGACGGATCGAGTGGCAGCAAATCTATACTCTCTCACATGGCTTGGGACGCAGAGCAAAATATTGCCTGACGGGCGACGCAACCGCCGTGCCCTGACCTGAGTTGCGACAGGCCACAGGGATGCCCCTCATCATGCCTCGAGTGATGTGCGGAGGATGTGCATTGATGGGTGCCGAAGGCCCGGTGACTGCTACCGTCTGAGCTGGGGAACACATGTGTCTCGGAAGCTGCAGAGGATGGATTGCCTGGGTGGATCTCGAATGTGACGAGTTGGCTGTCGGTGCTGGCTTTGTGCTTCACCTGTACCCTTACGGTGCAGCTGGATTCGTCATGTCTTGCAAATGTTCATGGTGGGGTTGGTGAGCATTTCACGATTGGACAGCAGGTGTGGTCACATCGTGCTTCCACGCTTCTGGCATGGCTTCTTGGGGCTTCGGTGGTCATGCAGGCCATGCTGGGGGTTGGTCCTATCAGGAGGGGTTTTGGCGCCAGTCTCGAAACGGGCCATGTGGAGGGCGTTGGGCGTGATTGGACTGTGTGTTTTGCAGCCGCCGTGGCCGACGACGAGACCTGCAGCGGTGCTCATGTGAAGCAGCGGCTTGCGCGATGCGATGCGATGGGCGTGGAGCGGGGGCTAGTCAGCGTCGAGTCGAGGCTGTGACGCTCTTTTCAGCCGGCGACGAGTTTGGTAGAAAGCAGACAAGTGCGAGGCACAGGGATGCCCTCGACGGCTGTCGAAGCCCTGGGGCTCTGTGCATGAGAGCCTGATATAGTCACAACTGCACCCCCAAAGCGTGCAGGCTGACTGCTCTCAAAATCCATATTACCCGTTGCACACATTATTCTATTCTTCGAACCCGCAATCTTATTCTTCTCCCGCGATTCTTCAAATTCAGACTACGCGGTGCGATCCCGACTACCGCCAGCCGGATCCTATTGGCATTTTTTGGCACGGTTGACGGTGACGTCGCAAAGCCATCCACACCGCAAGTTACGGGCTGCAAGCAGAGCCATCGCTGCCGGGCAACGAGCAGCGCAGTCGAGAGCACAACACAGCCTCACTCTTGTGCCTGACCGCCGGCCGAGCATTACAATTCCTTTGTCCAGCGTCTTTGATCCGAGTTTTTTGTCTCTTCGCCACGTTTCCGCCATCTTCGATCCGCGCTGTCTGTGTCCCTGAGCGACCCACTATTCCTTAGGTCAGCCGATTTCAAGCAAGCCATCCTCGTCACGCCGTGCAGGAACACCCGCACGCTCCGTCCGCTCTGCTCTCACCACGGCACATACTGCACCCGACTCTCCTTATAGGGCTCCTACACCGACCCATCGCCCAAAGCCCATCGCTCTTGCCCTTGCTTTTGCTGCGGCCTGCCAGACATCCGCCCAACACCGCCACAGGCTCGCTTGCTCATCCACTCGCTGCATTGCCCGGATCCGCATGTGTCAGGCCTGAGTCGCAAGCAGTCGTTGCTGTCACACTATAAGAGACATCCCACACCCCAGACCCGACTAGCAATCCTCTCCCCACACCGATTGCCGCCATGGACGACCCCCTCCCCGATCACTACAAGGCCCTGGGCGTCGCCAACACGGTCGACGCCGCCGTCATCAAGGCCACCTACCGCAAACTTGTCCTCAAGTGCCATCCCGACAAGGTCACCGACCCCGCGTTGAAGGAGCAGAAACAGGAGGAGTTTCACAACATCCAGCAGGCCTACGAGTGCCTCATTGACGACGAGAAGAGGAGCAAGTACGACGCGCAGGTCACGCTCGACAAGCTGCGCAAGGAGAAGGCCGCGCGAGGAGCTGCGCCACGCGACAGGACTGCACGCTTCGATGTCCCCACATCAGGCGGTGCATCCTTTGCCGCAAACGGCCCTTCGCGATACACCACCGAGTACCGCGCACCCACAGCACGCGAGGAAGACGACCGCTACCACGCACGGTACCACGCCCAACCCTCAAAACCCACATCATCCTCCAGATCTACTCGCGAGAAGGAGTCCAAGAGCTCGCGACACGTCAAAGAAGACCGATCACGCTCAGATCGCGAGAAAACGCGTGCCAAGGAGACCCGAAGCGACCGCAAGTTCACCCAGGTTGACAGTGAGTCATCGGGTGATGAGAAGGCGCGCTACGAGGCAGCCTTCAAGGCTCGCACTGAGGAGGATGCTCGGCGCAAGGCAGAAGAGCGCCGCACTTATGAAGACAACCGATATGCCGGCGCCGCGTCTCACACCGTCCCTGCTGCACGCAAGATGAGCGTCCAGGAAGAAGAGGCGCTCCGATACCAACACAAGTCACGCGCTCACGTCGAGGCGGATATCCTATCTTCCCGACCGTCGCCTGCCAGGGCCTCTTCGCGCGATTACTACACCTCCGACCCACCTCGGATGGTTCGACGCGACAGTGCTCGACCCGAGCCCGTCCGCAGGTCATCTGCTCGCCCCAGCAAGGAAAGACCCTCTATGTCCCGTCGTGACACCGACCGCACCGATCGCAGTATTCCCGAGGTTGTCGAGTGGGATGATGAGCCTCGTCGTGAGGAGAGACGGGTACCTAGCTTCAAGCACACAACCTCATCACCTGCTGAACTCGCACGTGGAGTGCCTCAACGCTCGTACACCGAAAACAGGTCTACCAGATATGCAGAGAACACACCTCCAGCACCTTCGCTGAGTCGATCGTCGACCATGCCTACTATGCCCAACACCTCCTCGCGCAGGAAGGAAGCTACCGCGCCTCGCCCGTCTGGTCTTCGCGAGGCCATGACTCCAGAGCAATACAGCAGTCCCGACAAGTACAGTAGTCCTGAGAAGTACGCCAGTCCCGAGCGAGACGCTTTCCCCAGCGTACCACCATCGTCGACCGTCAAGACATATTACTACCCCGTTCCTGGAGCTGGCGTGTCTCAAGACCCACCAACTCCCACTCCTCGTCACGTTGTCCGCGAACCCCAACGCCAACACCGTTCAAAGTCGCCCATCGGCAAACCCCCGATTGGTCCTAACCGTCCCGCGGAGCCCACCACTGCATCATACAAGACCGTCCCCCGGCCATCGATGCCAAGTCGCACAGAGTCAAGTCGCAACATCTCGCCTGTTCGCGAAGAACGCGGCCGCTCAGGCAGACTCTACGGTGAAATCGGCAGCGAACCCCGACACAGGGTACGCCAGCAAAGCATCGACCCCAACGAAGTCCAATACAGCCGTAGATACGGTCCCGAGGACGTCAGATGGGCACCAAGATCTGGTGAGCCCGACAGGGCTGACAGAGGCTATGCCAGTAAACCTACTCTAGGCAGGACTGCTACGTATGTTTACTAGTAGTTCCGTCACACTCTGAGCTATCAAGCGAAACATGTACACGCACATACACATCGACACAGGCATCAAATTGCCCACAGGATACCCAACTCCCGGATGCTATCGGACGAAACACCGGGATCATACTTGCGATTTCTCAGGCGTTGAACGGTTTTTCCCATTACTATCTCCCATCTCCTTGATGTTCAGTTCTACGACCAACTACACGCAAGTGCTGCGTTTGGCGTTTCTCTGTCTACTTGTCTTGTCAAGTCTCACACTCATCGTCTCTGTACAATTGCATATACATCGAAGTTGAAATACATTTCGATGAAGCTTTCCGTTCGCTTTCTGTTGTTTCAACTCATCGAGCAAGACGTGTATGTACGTCTTGTGATTACTTTCGTTGTATTGTTTTGACACTGCGCCCGGCTAGACCTGGACACATTCGCTTTTTGACGTATACTACGCTCGCTTGGTACGAGATGAGATGAGATGGACATGAGATGATGAGCCTGATTGGCATGGTTTCTGTTTTCTTTAGAAGTGGAGGTCTCTTTTGGGACATTCACACAGCATCATCACACATAGTATATAGTTTAAAGTAGTAACTTGAATGGATTTTCAATCTGATCGAAGACTTCTTCCGGCATGTGAATTTCTGTCTACCTTGGCAATATGGCTACGGTTATCTGACCTCGCATTTACTAGTACGAGCAAATACGACGACTCCAATGCTAATTCCCTCACTCATGTTCCACAGAGCCGCATTCTCAACCGCGCGAGCTGCCCATCTCACACCGCATCTACCTTTAGCCCAACCCCTAACTACTGTTCGTGTTACCAGTTGAACCTTTCCTTGTTTCCTTCACCAACCAAGAACGGCGATCTGCACAACCCTTATCTTGCAGAGATAGGTTAGATCTACACTTGTACCACCAGATTATGTAGAAGCAATGCAGGTAAGATGTATGTAAGCCTTTGGTGTGTGTGAGGAACTAGGTAAGCGTGTAGACATGTTAGTAAGACGAAGAATGCTACTTCAGCTGTCGCATGTTTTGTCAGCAACAAAAAGGGTGTTCGGTTGGACTTGCCATGCCAGTTTATTTGCTTGCAGGGTAACGCTTGATCAGGAAAACTGCCAGATTCGATAGGAGGCCACACCGCCAACAATGGGTCAGAAACGCAATAAACACATATATGCAAGTGGACGACTCATTGTTGAAATATGTGTTCCATTCATTTACATAGCCTTTTCCACCAGAAACCCTTAGATGAATCCAGAGAGGGAAAAGGAAAATCAAGGAAAAGCCCAAGGATATGATCAATCCATCTGTCAAGATCCTTCTCTCCCTCTCACCCACAAACGCCTTTCGCTGGCTGAACTCGCCAAGCGAACCAGAAAATAGAGAAATCAAAACACAAAACCAAGGACGCAACCCAAGACGCAATTGGGTGCTTTCTGCCAGAAGACAGTCGCTTTGCATGGCTCGTAACATCGATACTGAGTGTGTAAAGTAAGGAGATGAGATAGATATACAAAGGGGCAGCGAATGTAGTAATGGTTGTGTCGAGAGGGAAAGTTGTTGTAAGGAGTGTGAGTATGTCGAGGGGATGGCGGTACTAGGGTACTAGAAACTAGAACATTACTCTGCGTAATTCAACGCGCATTAGCCCCCAACATGCGAATATGTAAAGCCGTGCTGTACGGGCTTGCAAAGAAACGAAAGATTTGATCACAAAGGAAATGGCTGATGACAAGGGAATACGAGATGGAAACTGCCGGACCGTTGGAATGCATCGGCAGCCAACGGTAACGGAGATGCTGCACATCCAACGTCGACTCTGCAAAGTGGGCCAATGTGACATGCAGCTGTCAGGAGTCCAAACGCTCAGTGTTGGTGGCGTCGCGAGCTCCTGTTGGCGAAGGACGATCCTTCGGAGAGAGGTCGCGTAATTTCCGACAAGGCGGCCGAAGCTACCAAATCTTGTGCGCGCGGCGTCTTCTCCGGAAGCTTCTAGATTGAGCAAGTCCACTCCGCATATTTTGAGTTTGCGTTTCGGTCTGTTTGTACCTTTGCTCACAGTACGTCCCAGATATTGCGAACAATGGGGTTACTGCCAGTTTGGACAGGACTCCGGGGGTCAACGGTGGCCTTTTCAGGCGTCCATTGCCGGGGTAGTGGTTCTTCCCATGCGGTGTGGCCGTTTCGTCCGTCTTTGATCGTCTCGTTCGAAGATACCGGACTCGTGTCGTCGCCAGAGGACTGGAGTTCGAAATGGAAGGGATTCCTTGTGAACTCCTCTGCACGCGGCGACATGAGAGCATCGATGTCATCAGCAGCATGTTGAGGCGCCGAAGGTTTCGGCAGCTTTGACTGAATCTCCGTCTGTAGCTTGTGCAACTTTCGTTGTTCGCGCATGTTCGGTGATGAGAACCTAGTGCGAATGGCCTTGGCGGGAGTTGAAAGGAAGGTTTGGCTAGGCGATCGGGGCGTATCCGGTGCCTTGGGGAACGCTACAGGAACAGGTTCAGCCGGGTCGATAGGGGTCAAGGCTTGTTTTTCGGGTGAATTGCTAAGGCTGTCGATGCGTGGTCCGGCGTCTTGGCTGAGTTTTGGGAAGGACTTGGAAAGCAAACTGGGGGCCTGAAACATGGGGTTCGTTTGCGCCGTACCGTCCAGCGATGCAAAGCCGTTGAAAGTCTGATGTGCAGGCGGTAGGATGGCTTGGAATGACGGCCGTCGATCCTCAGCTTCAGAGTCCTTGATAGCCGCTATGCTGGGCCTGTCGAACGGATTGAAGTCTGCTCTTGTCGGCGATGTCAAGCCGAATGGATCCTCGTCTGCTATCCTTGGCTTTAGTGGAGTCATGTGGAATTCCGTGGCACGGGGCGACTTCAGGTCATCCTCTAGGCTTGCGTCTGTGCGACCAAAAATGTCCTTGGGAAATTGTGTAGCGACTGGCGAGGTAATCTCAGGCGCGGAAGGTTCGCTGTCCAGGTCATAGCCTGCCGGCCATGGGTTGTCGAAAGAGGTCTTGATTGGCGACATGACCTCATCGGATGCGTCGTAGGAGCTAAAGGAAGGTATGTTGAAACTTGCCACAGCTGGAGATCGAAGTGGCTCAAATCCTGATGGTTGCATAGGCGCCAGATGTCTCTCTCCTGTTCCGTGTGATCCGCCCTCATCGTTGCTGAGGCCTAATCGTAATGGAAGTTGACGTGAGAAGTTGGGGACAGAGGCATGTTTAAGAGTAGGCTCAGAATACTCTTCGTTGTCGGAGACATCTTGAGTCTGAATAGTCGGCACATTATCGTTAGTAACGGAGACTACAGGCACAACGTGACCCGTGGGATCGACATAGGGTGTCGTCGTCGTCGGAGAAGGCTCAGATGGGACATCAAAGTGCGCTGGGCTTGAGTCCCAGGACCGACGGAAACTGGCTGAGAAGGCTCCAGTGGGTGCCGATAAGGGACCTGGAGATATAGCCATCATGTTGCCTGTGCTTGCCCGCTGCATGCTGATGTCGCTGTCGGGTGGCAGTGGCGCTGTTCGTGGAGTGCGCGATCCCGAACCAGAGTCCCTATCGTACGAAGAGTACTTGTTGTTTCCTGTGGAGCGGGTGGAAGGAAGACCAGCAGATCGGCGTCCATACCCTTGATTGTGGTATGAACGACTTTCGTTTTGTCTTAACAGGCTGTTGCGGAACTCTTGCAATTGCATGATGAGGTTCATGTTCGGACCGATCCACTTGCTTCGCTTCTTCGCCTTGTCGTAGGCTTCTTGCACACTCATCTGCGGGTCCTTGTACAGACCGTAGGCAACGATCAAACTGGCAGAACGACTGACACCACACTGGCAATGAATGAGTACGCGCTTCCCACGCTGAACCCTCTCGTCTATCATCCTGACCAGCTTGTGAAGGTCGGGAACGATGTCTGTGTTGTGCTCCCAGGGCATGTGGATGTACTCTGGTGTCTTGTATGTCTTGCCCTCAATCACAACCTCGCGCGGCTGTATGGTTTGCATGACCGGCGTGGCTTTGGGTGTGGTTGGCGAGCCATCATCCATACCGAATGATTGCTTAGGTCGCTGTCCTAGGGTAGCAAAATCAACGTTCTCCGCTGGCGGGCCGTCTATGCGCCTGGCGTCAATGTCTTTTTGTGACTCCACCGTTGGCGTGGTGAATGGGTTCTTCACTTCGCTCGCGACGTTGATAATGACATCGAAGGTCGTGGCCTGGATAGCAGTTGGCTCAAAGTAGAGGAACACGCCAGACTCATAGATACAGATGGGGCCGTTGGGATAGGCAGCCGGCTTCTCCTCTCGCGACTGGGGAACATCGAAGTTGGGTTCCTGGTCCTCCTCCTCTTCCATTTCAAAGGGGACTTCGCTGAGGCCACTTTGCTTAGGTGCAACAGGTCGCAAAGGAGGTAATTGCATACCACCCATTGGATTCGTACTCGGTGAACATAATGGTAGCGAAGGAGATGACTGGAAGTGGCGAAGCGGTGGACGATTGAAGGACGGTGTTGAAGGTATGAGCAATCGTACGGGCTTACTCTCGTTGCTGCCAGGCGTTGAGATTGTTAAGCTCAAGTTGGACGGTCGACGCTTCGGGGGTGTCGGTGGTTTGATAAACAACGGAGATGGCGGTGCCGAGCTGTTCTTCTCTTTGGGAGCAACTGCGATGGGAGCTGGGGTGTGCGCGCGCAAGTTGCTGAGCGAAGACGCAGTGTTGATACCAAGGTTCTTGAGATTCCGAGGCTTCTTTGCGGGGGTCGTGGGACGCTGCAATTCGAAGAATGGGCCGGCTGACGGTTCCCCAAGAGGTGCGTCTGATCGTCTCGACCTGAAGTCGGCAACGAAAGACGAGGGCGTGATTGTCTTTGCGAGGGGCGATTCGGGAGACACGCCTGGAGAGGGGTCTGTTACCGAGGACGAGTCCATGGTTGATATGGTTGTGGTCGGGGAGTTATCGGAAGAGCCCGTCGATGTACTGTCGCGGCTTTCGCTGTGGATGTGGAAGGAGGAGAAGGGTGTGCCCGAGTTGGTATTGGGGCTCGTGGCAGGGCGTGCTACATTCCCGCCATTTTGGCCCTTGCTGTGGTGATCTCCTCCAAATACGGCGCCGAATGAGGGCATGGGCATGAATGAGCGCGCGCTCGTCTGAACCATGCTGGGACTTGTGTGTGCTGCCAAGCGGGGGCAGTGGTTGCGAGTGCTACTGGGCCAACGTGGAGCTTGCGTCGAAGTGGAGGGTGGAGGAAGGCAGTGGGTGAAGGACTGCTCGAGTTTCTTGGAAGGGAAAGAAGAATTAGGTGTAGAGAAAGCCCTTTTCAGAGTCGGAGTGTTAGCATCATGGGATATTGTGGGCGAGGCAGACATGGCAGGCGCATGTGTTTCGAAACGAGGGCGGCAGGACGGGAGAGTGAGGAATGGAGGCTGAAGACAGGTTGAGAAGCTGTTGCCAGACTCGAAGATTGGTGGTAGAGTGCACATGGTCGAGCAGGTAACGGTTGACAGGTGACAGGTGCCCGTACACTGCCTCGACTACAGTCATGCTCGCTCAGACAGACAACGGGGCACAGGAATGCGGAGTAGGGACACGAAAAGAAGATGCGGCTTACCTGGGTGCCAACAGCAGTGGGGAGGGGCGCTGGCGTGGTGAATTGGAGCGAGAATACCAGATCCTCTACTAAGCGCCTGGGGGAAGGAGCGACTGGGCCGGCGATGCGCCTATGCCTGAGGAGATGCGGCGTAGTGGGTAGAAAGGGCAAGAGCGGGCGACGCAGCGGGTGCGGGTGGTGCGAGCGGCGGAGGTGAGGAAGGCGCGGTCGAGGGTGGGTGCCGCGCTCACGATGAGGGTCAGTTGCGACGCACTCTGGACGATGGGGAGGGTCGAGGGCAGAGTGGTGACCAGCTTGGGCAGTGCGGACGAGGGAAGCCGGTCGATCGCAGAGCCGCTGCCGCCTGGATGTGGGAGGAGGGGGTCGTGGTAGGCGAGGCGAGCACGCTGTGTGTCGTGATTGAGGCGGCGTGAATGCGTCTTGTCGATGGATGGGGGAGACGAACTGCGAGCTGCGCTAGTGGCTCTGTGGAAGCGCCGACGTTCCAGGAATAGCAACCGCCGCCGGTGCGCTACGAGGCAGCTGCGACCACTAGGACACTAGCATGTCAGACCCATGAGCGTCTTGGGACCATACTACACAAACGCGCCAGTCCACTCAACCACCGCGCCTTACAGCCTGTCTACCGTACCGCTGGCGATCTTGGTTCGCAGCCTACGCGTAGCCGTCATTTCCCTCGCCTAGCAAACAAATACTCGTCGCCTCCGCTCCACAGAAGCCTACACTCGACAAATTGCCCTTCTGCCCTTGTTCCCCGGACCTGGCGAACCTGGCCAGCCTAGAGTAGGCCCCTGGAGGCCGCATCCTGAAGACGGGAAGGCCCAGACGAGATACCTCGGAAAGAGGTTGGGGTCCGTCCATATTGCAGACACCCCAGACAGTATGTAATCCGTCCCGTCTCCGGCCTCGACGCGCTCGAGATGAATTACTCGTCGTCCAGGACGTCGTTGTTGTCAGCGCTCACCACCGCCGGGACACCCTGGCCTCGCTTCGCATGCCACAGCCATCGTTTCGACGCTCACTGCGTGCAAGACTGCGACTGCGACTGACTTCATCGCGGCCTTCTGAGGCACAAAACAGTCGGAGCAAATATCTGCAACGTGAAACGCACCGTGGGAACTTATCGACCCACCTGTTGGCGGGGTGAGTTTTTGCGTCTCCGTCATGTGAGGACTACCACGCGTTTCATCTCTCTGCCGTCAGTTTCGCAATCCCAAACTCTCCCACAGCATTTGTGGACCTTTTTCCCGTATGACTGCCAGGCAGAGCCGCAGTCCTTGCAGTACCTGCCGAAACGTATTTCCACCTCTGCCGCCGCCTGTGCCCTGAATGTTGGTAATTTGTTCTTTCTGTTACGCAAAGCCCCGATTCGGCGAGCCCACACCAAATGCGTTTCAGCATCTTTTAACACCGGCAGAATCCGTCCTAAAAAGCAACGCGACACCGATTCGGGTACCCATGCGAAGATCCAACGACTCAGGACAGTCCGCCTCATCTTCATGGGCACGTGCTCTTGAGATCGGGATAGGTCGACTGAGCGACTCATTGGTAGTTTCCATACTTATCAACTTGCAACGTGGAGATCAGAGCCCAACTCTTCGCTACCAGCTAGATGGGTTTCCCGACTGAGTCGTCCTTGGGAAGTGTTCTGGCCTCCCAACACAAGGCCCCAATAAGGTCCGAGTCTCTTTGCCCGCCCTGACGCTACACGCAGTGAGTCGTAGCAGCTGTGACAGAACAGCCTGGTTCTCCCGCTATTAGGGCGATTTGGACCAAGCAGCATTCTTTTCGAGATAAAAGATAAGGGGTGATGCATCACGGGCCTCAGTAAGGTTCAAATGTTTGCGATCGTGCCTGCGGTCCGAGAACCTAATGCTCTGCGACGTCGCCCTCGACCAGCAAGCAAGGACGTGCTCTGTACATCTGATGGTAAACTTGGTCATAAATTTGGTTGTGCGTGAAGTCTCAACATACTCAAATGAGGTTCATGCGCCCCTGTGGCCTATGTGCTGTGGTACCTCTATTGTAGCACGTCACGACATACGGTGCGCATGTCATAGCTTTCTCGGACTTGCGTCCGACTTCATAACATGGCATGCTATGCGCACTCACAGAAACGGGAATATCTCTTTGTGTTCATCTGTAGTCACATCTTTTACTTGTGCGCTTTGCACATTCCAGCTGGACCAGAGCGCTGCCAGAGACATGTCGAAAGAGTTGTGGGTGCTGCACGGAAACAGGATGTGACTGTGTCAGGAGCCACAAGTCGTTGTTCATTCTACCAAGTCACGCTGTTCCTTAAGCATACTTGAAGATATGACGGCAGGATAATGCGCTCACATGTTGATGTGGTTAGGCTATCCTCTACAACAAGAAACTTCGATGTATTGAGGTCGTATTCGATATGTACTCATCCCACAGGTTATCAAATGACTTAGGGGAAAACAAGGTCTCCGTTACTTTTAGCATCTATGTACGTATAAGCTGAGAACTCCCGTCTGGCTTAATTATGGTTAGTACCTGGTATAGCCGTAGTGATGGTGGAATCAGCATGGCTACGTGCGCCTTCATCCACGGAGAAGTTAGGTTGGAGATTTCCACAGTTATTAGCACTTTCGCCTGACAGTATATCTATGGACTTAGAAGATTACAACAACCTTCGCAAAAGTTTAGACAAAGGTGCATGTTCTGTTGTTCAGCGTGCAGATGCGCTCATCAATGACCACCACTAGCGCCAAGCCAAAGCGGGCTAGCGCCGCCCACCATGCGAAATTCAAGCGAGCCCGAAGAACTCGAAAGTCGAGAGCCTCTTCTTTTCGCGACAACTAACCACCAGGTCAATCACAACAGCGATCATGTCGAGGCCAACCGTCACCGTCGTCTCCGCCAAGGGCGAGGCCACCAAGGACACCGTCCCCGTGCCCAATGTCTTCAAGGTCAGTTCCGCCGCAATTCGAACTTCGCGATACGATGCAAACCACAACCGGAGGGACTGAGGGCTGCGGCGGCAGCTGGAGGAGTGCACACATGGGAAGAACATCGAAAGAGCGGGGACACTGGTGGCAGCGGAGAATGCTCGCATTGAGCTGGACTACGCAGAGTTCTTCCCATGATGCACTGTCGTGGAAGTGTAGCGAAAGCCGCATTTTCTGGCTTGTCTGCTTCTCAGTCTCTTGGATACGGCTTTGCGATGCACTCAGACGCAAATCAGGGACTATGGCCAATGCTAACAACTCTTCCAGGCACCCATCCGCCCTGACATCGTCCACGCGGTGCACACTGGCATGAACAAGAACCGCCGCCAGCCATACGCTGTGTAAGCCTACCTCGCGCGCTGCACAACCACACAGTCTAACAACAAGCAGCTCCGAGAAGGCTGGTCACCAGACTTCTGCCGAGTCCTGGGGTACGGGTCGCGCTGTGGCCCGTATTCCCCGTGTCTCTGGTGGAGGTACTCACCGTGCCGGTCAGGCTGCCTTCGGTAACATGTGCCGCTCCGGTCGCATGTTCGCTCCCACCAAGGTCTGGCGCAAGTGGCACCAGAAGATCAACCTGAACCAGAAGCGTTTCGCTACCGCGTCCGCGCTCGCTGCTTCAGGAAGCCCTGCTCTTCTCCTTGCCCGCGGTCACGCCATCAGCACCGTCCCTGAGGTTCCTCTCGTCATCTCATCGACTGCTTTCGCCGATGCCGCCATCAAGAAGACCTCCGCCGCCGTCGCTCTGCTGAAGGCTGTCGGTGCTGGTGCCGATGTCGAGAAGGCCCGCAACACACGCAAGGTCCGCGCTGGTAAGGGTAAGCTCCGTGGCCGCCGCCACACTCAGCGCCGCGGACCCCTCGTCATCTACAACCCCGAGGAGGATGGCAAGGAGCTCGTCCTTGCTTTCCGCAACATCCCAGGTGTCGAGACCTCATCCGTCTACTCCCTGAACCTTCTCCAGCTCGCCCCCGGTGGCCACCTCGGTCGCTTCATCGTCTGGACCTCATCCGCTTTCAGCGCTCTCGACAAGGTCTACGGATCCACCGCTGAGCCCTCAGCGCTCAAGAAGGACTACCTCCTGCCCTCCACCATGATGAGCCAGCCCGACCTCAGCAAGATCATCAACTCCAGCGACGTCCAGAAGGTTCTCCGCCCCGTCCGTGGTGGAGCCGTCTCCAAGCGTGGTGTCGTACAAAAGAAGAACCCGCTCAAGAACTTCCAGGTGCAGCTCCGCCTCAACCCATACGCTGCTACCTTCTCCAAGGAGAAGCTCGGCCAGAAGAAGCTCGAGCAGGGCAAGCCCGAGTATGCCACCGAGACCTTCCACGAGCTTATGCACGAGAACTAGATGGTTGTTGGTTAGCGTTATGATTTCCTAAGGTGTTCTCTCTTCGGCTGGGATGGACTGGAATGATGAATAGCTATGACAAATATAGCTCTTCACAAAATGCCTCTGAAAAGGTTTCACTTCCACTCCTATTTATGACCATTGAATCAGGCGTTGCATTGATGAGGTCCGTCCACATGTTGCGGATAGTTGTTCGTAGTAATGTGGTATTGCATGATCGTC